TCACTTGGACTCCTCTTGGGCCGGGACTTTTTGGAAGCGGTTGGGGCTGTGATGAGTTTTTCACGAAAGGTTCTGCACTGTGAGTTGCTCGATGGCAAGCCCATTCATCTGAACCAGCTGGCTGCAGGCCATTACTGCCTTGGACTCCTTCCCGGTCAATGGGCAGGTCTGGAACCTCAGAGATGGAGAAGGTTGGGTTTGGATGGAGTCATTGAACTTCAGTTGAGCACTCCGCAGTGGTTGCAGAAACGGCTGAAACGTGGTTCAACTTCGTTTTTGAAGGCAGAGCATGATGGTCACGATCATTTTTTTGACTGAGAACAGCATGAGAGTGGGTCATCTTGTTTGCTCTGTTTTGTCAAGCTCCCCTTCTTTGCCTCCTTCGGTTCAAGCGCCTATGTCTCGTTCCTCGGAACGAGTTGAGACACGGACAACATCTCCTACACGAAGGTCGAGCACTACGACGAAGGAGCATGCCAGTGAGCGAAGCCTTCAGCCAAATCGATCTGAGATGGCGGCGGATGATTCTCCGCATGCGAGAAAGGTTTCAATGGTCAGCCAAAGGCGTCCTGCTCTGGCTATTGCCAAGATCCTCTTTGCGCTATCTGCCTTTGCCATACCCAGCTACCTCAACGCTGGACAAGTGGGAAGCTCAGTGCCGTGTGCAAGTGATGGAAGGAATTGTATCAAAGCGGCATACGGCCAAAGCTCAAAACAGCTTCACCTACGAGAACCTTGGCGACTGCATTCACCTGAGGAACCGGATGGGATTAGACACAGCCTTTTGCGAGGATCCGGTGTTGCAGGGCTTCAAGTTGGCCAAATCGGCCAAAGGTCTCTCTCAAAGGGTGAAGTCGGCCGCCCTGGCCGAGGCAAAGCAGAAAGCTCAGGAGGCAGAACATCGGGGAGAACAAGACGAACTTGCTCGAGCCTTGATTGGGCCTCGCGGCGGACTCCCTACCTTGAGAAAGGATCTGATCAGGTTGGCTGCACTGCTGAACGTCGAGATCCAGCCCACCGACAATGTCGAACAGATCAAGGAGAAGGTGAAACCCATGGTGGCCTTACTCAAGGAGACGAAGACTGCGGCAAAGGCCAAACCTCAAGGCAAGACAGAGAAAAGGGCTCTCGTTCCGCAAGGAGCGACAAGCAGCGGGTCGTCCTCCAGACCTCCTCCGGCGACAGTTCCATGGTCGCAGGTGCAAGAGATGCAGGGCAAGTTCCAGTCCGCACTGGACAATATGGCTTTGGAGCTTCAAGAACTTCGCGCCGGTCGCATTCCTCAACGGCCGGTCGACTTGACAAGCCTGATGACAGAGCCCAGTTTGATGACCGACGAGGACATGATGCACATGAGGAACCCCATGGGATACGGCCCAAGTCAGGGCCGAGATGTGAGCATGGAGGAGGCTTACCGCACCGATCCAGAGTTTCGCCAAGAGGTGAACATGAGCTTGGAACAAGATTGGGAGGCCAAACTGGCCGCACACTACGGGGAGGATTACTACCTCTTGACTCAGGAAGAGATGGAAGCGGCTCTGGATCCCTGAACCGCTACGTGATCCACCAACAGCTCAAAAGGGGCCAAGCTCAGCTGATTGCTCAGGCTTGGAATCAACATGAACAAGATCGCCGTCGTGTGTCCCAAGCTCCCAAGAAGATCAAAGAGTTGCTTGAGACTGAGTACTATGAGGAGATGAAGAACTTTCTTGACGACGAGATCTTTGTCCAACCGATTGACTTGAACTTCAAGGTCAATGAGACCCTAATGAACGACAAAGTGTCTTCGAATGACCAGCCCCTTGTGACCGAGATTTACACGAGTGCGAGAAACGTGATGCAGGAAGCAAAACGTCGTGGTCACAAAGTTGGGACATCTATGAGCTTGGACAATGGTTGGAATTTCCTGCTTCGTCGTCATCGAGAAGCTGCAATTGAAAAAGTGAAGACGGAGAAACCCTTTTGTGTGGTACTGGCGTTTCCGTGTGGGCCCTTCAGTCCACTCCAGTTCCTGAACAAGAAGGGACACCGCTCCTGGCCTGCTCGTCTTCATGCAGGCCGCATTCTGATGAAATTTGCCTTGGAGATCGCCCGCATTCAGATGAGCGAAGGACGACACTGCATCCTCGAGAACCCTAAGCCATCCTTGGCTTGGAGTGAACCTGAAATGAAGAGGTTTTTGGAGGAGGAAAATGTTTTTCAAGCTGTCTTTGATCAGTGCCGTTTTGGCCTTCGGAGTGCCTCAGGAGAGCTGCATTAGAAGCCGACCCAGGTGGTGAGTTCTTCTTCGTGCGTTACAAGTATGCTGGATGGGGTGTGTTGCATGCGTGACCATTCCCACATGCCGGTTCTTGGAGGTTCGAGAATTACAGCTCCTGCTGGACTGTATCCTCGGGCCTTGGCTCGCACTTTGGTTCGCGGACTGGAAGCCCAGTTCGAGAAGGACTTCAAGCCCTGTGAAGTTTTGGTTGCAGGTGTCCATGAGGACGATGGAGACCAAGTGGTCGCTGTTCGAGGAGAGATTGAGGACAATGAGGCCTCTGATGAGGAGTTCGCAGTGTCCCCAGATGAGAAAAAAGCTGGTGATCCCTGGCAGTGTGAAGGCGACGATTCGCCGTCTTCATGAAAACACAGGTCATAGAAGCAACACTCGCCTTGCTCGGGCTCTGACTTTGGCTGGCGCACCTTTGGAGGCGATCGTGGCAGCCAAGAGACATCAATGTGCAGTCTGTCAAGAGAGAAAACCCCCCTAAAGTGAGACGACCAGCTTCTCTACCGACGCCAAAAGATCTCGGTGACCAAGTTCATTTGGATCTGTTAGAGATTGAAGATGCCCGAGAGAAGAAGTACTTTGTGGCCCATTGCACCGACTATGCCACGAGGTTCCAAGCAGCAGAGATTTTGGCAGACAAGTCAACTAAGGAAGTGATTCGCTT